CCAGCCTTTAACAATTCAGCTGGGATGCCACAGACACCTGCTGCTTTACCACTCTTCAGCTTGGAGATCGCCCCCCTGACTTCAGTCAGGGAGGGTGGATCCTCGCTGATGAGTGGGTCTGGCAGAGGAGTCTCAACATTCCCAGCATCCAAGTTAACTGTTGGTGGATCAACCTGATACAGCTGCTCAAAATACTCAGCCCAACGCACACGCACCCCATCAGGATCTGTGATTACCTGACCACTCGCTGAGCGGACTGCCGTCGTCTGTGAGGAGGGCTTGGAGTTCAGCTTTCTCAGGGCTTGGTAGGCAGGACGAAGGTCATTTACTAGGAAACGGCTTTCGACCTCCTCTGCAAGATTACTGATATACTGTTCCTTATCCCTTCTCAGCAGTGACCTAGTCCTGCGCGCCAGAGAACGGTGCAAATTGCGATCCCCTGACAATCGAGCTGCACGGCAAGCTTCTGTGGCTTCCAGTGTCTCCTGCGAGATGGTATTCTGTCTTGCTCTAGGGCGTACACCAATGGATTCCTGAGCTGCATCAAGCGTTTCACGCTTGAAGGAATCCCACATAACAACAGGGTCCGTCAGGCCCTCGAGTGCTGTGAACCGACCAGAGATAGCCTCAGCAAACCCCCGGGCACACTCATCCTCCCTCAGTCTGTCCAGATGAAACACCCTGGGGTGCTCATTTGGTCGACGGGGGGTTTTAAAGTGGACCCGGAGAGTAGCCACAACTAATCTATGATCAGTTCCACAGAACTCGGCGCTTCGATACACCCTGCAGTTCTGGAGGATCCTCCACCGAGTGCTGACGAGGATGTGGTCGATCTCCTTGGCCACCCTACCCGTATCGCTGTACCAAGTCCAGCGATGCGGGTCAGAACGCTGATACCAGGAGCCAGAGATCCTCAATTTCTGGGACCTAGCAAAGTCACGGAAAAGGAGGCTATTCTCGCTGCCAGCATCAGCTCCTGAGCCATGGGGACCGACAGACATCTCGTAGCCAGCTCGATCACATCCGGATACCGCATTGAAGTCGCCCAAAACAATAAGAATATCTCGCCGAGGACAACTGTCTGCCACAGATGCAAGTTTGGTGTAGAACATCTCTTTCACCTCAAGTTTATATACATCCGTAGGGGCGTACACAGCAATAAGAGACATGAAGCCAAATGACAGCTTCAGTCTCAATACCATTATACGCTCATCGACTGGAGTGACCTCTACTACCGAGGGTTGAAGTCGGCTGGAGATGGCTATGGCTACTCCCTGGAGATGGTGGCCATCGCTGCGGCCCGACCAGTAGTAAGTGTAGCCACCCACACTAATCGTGCCGCTGCCAGGTCTTCTCACCTCCGAGAGAGCAACCACCTCAACTCTCAGCCGCTTCAATTCCCTCGACAGTAGTGGTAACCGATCATCCTGTCGCAGGGAACGGACGTTCCAAGCCCCCACCCTGACAGCCCGCCTGAGGTTTAACCTCTGGCAGTCACTCCGGGTGGGCGCCACCTCTGCCACCCCCACCGACGCCGCCCCATATAGAGGTTGGCTGGCTGCAGGTCCCCTAATCCACCTGCAGGGCTCCCGGGGGCTTTCCCCCACAAGCATCACGCCAGGCTGGCGGCCGTGTGTCATAATTCTGCACATATTACACACCGGCAAGATTAATATCCTTAACTAGTCTCAATGGTAAAATATAATACTCCCCAATTAATAATGGATACAACATCAAAAATAGCGAATGGATGCAATTCGAAAATTACGAATGAAAATTAAACCCTGTAATATGACAATATATTTCTTCACAGGCCAACGACATTGCTATAATCACACTGAAATCGTCTCTGGAATGGACTAACAACGTCGGACCCATTTGCTTGCCACCTGATAATACCTTCGAAAATAGGGATGCAGTCATAACAGGATGGGGATTGTTAGACTTCCGTGAGTAGGCAGTTTGCATGATTTTTTTTCGCTCAGGAAGATAGTACGCTTGTCTTTTCTGAGTAGCATTGGTACAGAAAATCATGTGCCACTGCTTACTTTATGTGGGAAAAAAGGGAATGTATAGGTAGTCTTTTGAATACATTGTGTCTATTAAAGAACGCGTGTTTTTTTTTTTTTTTTTTTGTGTGTGTGTGTGTGTGTGTGTGTGTGTGTGTGTGTGTGTGTGTGTGTGTGTGTGTGTGTGTGTATCAGGTTTAGGGCAATATCATACACCCTGTGGCTAATTCCTTAATTCCTTAAACTGAGGTAATTGACTTTAGGGGTAACTTCCAGTTATCATTTATGCTATCAGTTCAGGAACCCCAAGGCAAGTTTTCGGTCTGACACTGGAACGAAAGGAAACGATTTTTTTTTTTAAGAATGCTGAACAAATGGCAGAAATAACAACAAATCCAAGTTCCGGGATGGAGTGAAGCCAATACAGCAAAGAGTGACAATCAATCAGCTTTTTGTTAAGTGACCCCATGTTACCCCACAAGACAGTCTTGTTGATATCTGTTATGCTATTTCCTTGCGTGATTCAGGCCTTAGGTAATATATTTGACTTTCCCTGTGGACTTGCATCAAATGTAAGACATTAACAATAAGCATGCAAAATCAAGCATTACGTACTTGCTTTTGTTATTTTTTTATTTTTTCTTAATTCGTGTCAGAAATAAGCAGTAATTACTAATCTTCATTTTTTCGGTTCCTTTAAAGTGTGACATTTGATAACAAAAAAAAAAAAAAAAAAAAAAAAAACCTCTTTACATCATTAAATTAACTTTGTCCTTGCACTAGCAGTTATAAAAACAGACATGGTAATTAGCATAACTTGAAGCATTCACTATATCATCATTGTTTGTTTTAGTTACTTATTTTATTAGTTTTATTTATTTAATTAATTAATTATTTATTATTCACGCTCTGTTCACTCATCACTTTATAAGTCGTTTGTATATTCTAACTCGTTATCAAAAGACGTAGAATTATCGTTGATGACAAATTTGGTTCCTCTACAGCAGGTTGCTAGTGTCTGGTTGCCTATTGCAATAATTTTGATATTTCGTTTTTTGTTTATCTTAGCGGGGTCAACGTTTCCGGATGAATTACAAGAAGCAGCAGTCACTGTGTCCGACCTGAAGGAATGCAAGGACGCTCATGCGTTCTCGAACTTCCCTGTCACTGATAAACATGTAAGTACCCAGATGGATCTTCCAGTTGAGTGCTGCAACATCAGACGTGCAACACTATTCTTGGAGAATTCTGACAAGACAGTTTATTTTCTCTCCTCAAGATTTGCGCCGCCGATCCTGGAAGGGACTCCTGCAGGGGCGATTCTGGGGGTCCCCTGATGACGAAAGAAAACGGAGTATGGGTGCTGGTGAGTTATTGCGTATTTTACGTTGTTCTTTTTTTCTCCGGTTTAGTTCTCAGTGAGATAAAGTGGAACAAATGACGGGTCGTTTTAGTACTGCAAGCACTGATTACCTGTAATAATGATAACAAAATATGATGATGCGAACCCACTATTATACATTGTCCAAATAAAACCTCTCGCACTCAAAATGTAATCACTGACTTCCATCCCACAGCTCGGCTTGTCAAGTTTCAGCCCAAGGAAATGTGCTACAGAAGGTGTCCCTGGCGTGTACACTCGTGTCTCTTCCTACAGTACATGGATACTCAGTAAAATCTCTTCCGGATCTTGTTAGTGCGTATTGGCGATGCATCGTGACTTACAAGACGAAAATGTAAACCTCTTTTCGATGTTTTTTTTTTTTTTTTCTTCTTTTTTTGTCAGATTAAAAACAAACAAAAGAATATGAAATGAAAGGAATTTAAACCTCATACCCATCTCATTGTTTGTTTCTGTTTACCTGTGTGTGTGTGCTGCAGATTTATAGTGCGAATGGGACGAAAACAGATAAACAGATTATAAATGTAAGTTTATAGTTTGAATAACGTAGCACTATTTCCGTATAGTTTTAGTATATTTCGCCCGAATGCGAAACGATAATCGCAGGATTATCGTTTCGCTCGCAAATTTTCTGCTGGTTCATTTTGCTCAACTCATCAGCTATGATTGATAATCACTATAGTAGTGCAAAACAAATATTATGAAACGATCTGAAAAGACGATATGAAGAGTATTTGACATAAAATAATGGGCAAAATTCTTGTTTCCGTGGTGCCATCGAAAATACATTGAGGAAAAATATCCAAGAATGACCGCACAAGAATTTGAGAAATCAGATTGAACGGAAAATCAACTTATATTTACAAAGACTTAAGCCAAACTACCATTCTGTTTCCTTCTCTGTATGCAAGACACAAATGAGGGTCTCTTGGTACACCTCAAAATAATCTCATGAGATACCGAGAAAAAAACTTCTTTTCTAATTTGTTGCATTCCCTTGTGATTCAACAACAACAATAACAACAAAAGAACCAGATAGAACACTACAATAGGATAAAAGGACTAAAAAATCAGAACGCCTGGAATGAAGAGAGAAAAACATCCTTCCACAAGAGCTTTGGATTTGATACATCTTATCAAAAATAAATATCTTATATGTTGGACACAAGACGATAGTCTGTATATGATAATTGGTTATATACAAATATATCGTGATTGATTGTTTTGACGACTGATTTTGACATTGTGTATATCTGCATAATCCCAAATGTTTGGATGGTAATTAGAGTTGATTTCCAACTTCTGGGTGGTAACCTGGATTTGATAGATGCTCAAAGGATTCCAATAATGACTAAACACATGGATAGTGCATACATTAAAACAAAAGAGAAAATAATTCAAATTGAAGAGGAATAAACGTGTTTATACAAAACAGATAATCCGTAAAACCGTGAGGAAAAGTAGACATGCAAAAAACCTTCATACTCTGTCATGCATGGCCACTGATAAATGTAAGCTGTGGTCATTGAATTCCCAGATGAACATTACAAAGAAAGATAAACTATACTGAATTGCCTTGAACTCCCTCAAAGTAATCTCTATGGGCGCCAAGACCTCACGAATCCCTACTACTATCCCTTGAGCTTTATTTTCAGCTTCAGGAAAAAAAAGAACATTATTATCATTATTGTTATCATTATTATTATTATTATCATCATAATTATCATTATTATTATTATTATCATTATCATCATTATTACTATTATTATTATTATCATTAATATTATTATCATAAGGCAGTACATATGTTAAGTAAAGTGGATTGAATATAAGGGTCACATTGTTTAGTGAAGATTAAGTTAACGTTAATTGATTTTTCTTATTATTCTCATTGTTTTGTCACTTTTCCTTAATAATCATGAAAACTATTTTGCAGAATTCTTAATATTTCATCCTGTTTCTAGTTATTGTCACATATATTGTACTGATGATAAGAAATAATAATAACGTTACATAATAATAATAATAATGTTAAGTCAGAAATATCGTAACACGAATAAATCCATGAACATTTTTTATGCATGGCTTATTTTGTATAGAATATGTCAATGATAGTTAAAATTACACGCACGCACACACATCACATACACTACATACACCACACATACACTACATACACCACACATACACTACATACACTACACACACCACACATACACTACATGCACCACACACACACACATCACACATACACTACATACACCACACACACACACACCACACATACACTACATACACCACACACACACACACAAACAAACACGACCTTTAAATACACCCAAACAGAAACACACACAAAAAAACAAAAATAAAACACAAAATCACCTTAAGATACGTTCTTCATTAATGTACCAAAAACCGAGATATTTATTTACGATAAAGGCAAAAATCTCGAAGAATTCCTTTTCGGAAGCAAATTGGTGTTGTCGAAGTTTCCGTGAAAAGTTGGTCCAAAATTGAAAGGCAGAGGCATCATCTATAACGATATACTGATAAAGTTTAAAGCTACTTGGCATATTTTGAAGATTCGTATGGCCGTTAGTCCTTCGTGGAAGAGTTGATCAGAGGGAGAAGAAAATTACTTGGAATTATTGATAATAATGAATGTATGCATGAATGGACAGAGTGAGGAAAAGATAAGTAAATTAACACACAAACACACACACATATATGTATATATATGTGTGTGTGTGTATGTACATATGTATGTTATATATATAAATGTATATATATATACATATACCAATACACACACACACACACACACACACACACACACACATATATATATATATATATATATATATATATATATATATATATATGTCGCTGCGGCCTCGCCCTATTTATTTGGAGTTGGTTTACTGAATGAATACTTCTATGGATTTTGGAGAAAAACTCTTGTTGCTGCTTCTTTCTTTATTCTCCGTAACTGATGAATACAATTTCTACTTCTTACATATCCGTAATCATACATAAAACTGCAAACAAAACAATGGGAAACGTAAAAACTGTGGCCACGTGGTCTTATATACTATTAAATTTGTAAAATTTCACATAATTAACTCAATTAAAGCACATTATTCAATGCTAACAATCTCATAAAACAAAATCATAATAACAGGATGAATAAACTAGTACAAAGAATGTAATTTACCTCCAAACCCCTACAATAGGGCCTGGTGCTGTTTAGGCGACCACAGCTGCTGTTGAAGTAAACAGACTTCCAATACCCGTCTATGTATTCGACTTTGACAGTCTTTTAAAACCTTTTCGTTCATCTTTACTTTTTTAACTTGGCTGCTATACTTACATGGCTCCCCTAAATTGTTTACAATTTACAATTAACATTATACTACCTTAAAACTATATTCTTTACAAAACTTTCTTTTCTGAAAGTAAATACAAAAATAAAACATTTATTTTTTATCACAAATAAAATAAAGCTCTTTGGCGGGGACTTCCCTGGATATAAAGTACATTGAGTTAACTCAAATAAAACTTCTATTCCTTATAATTCGAATAACATAAGTAAATTTTTTAATCCTATTATCATCCAGTAACCTGCTCTTATTTCAAGTTATACCACGACCTTGATGGTGATAGTGAAAAATCAGCAATTCTGACATGTGGCATTTACCTGGCAAAATTACAGGATGTCTACTTGCTTCATTCAAGTTGGCTTGACTAAGTCTTCCTCGTACTTTCATGATTCCATCAATATCCGTAAATGGATCTAATTTGTACAAACTGCTTCTTTTATTTAGGACATTCTTCTTTGTTTGAAAAACCCTTTTTCATCTGCATAGTGTTTACTCTGAAGTTCCTTTATTATTACTTTCTCTATATTACATTTCTCTTATCAATTTTCTCCTCAGCTGTTTCTGTGGTTTTCTTATACTTACTTTGTTGTCTTAAAGACAATGCTGTAGCTCTTTTAGCTCTAAACCAATCTGAGAAATAGCCTAATCTATCAAGAAATGGTACTTCTTTCTTTGAAGTTACTACAACTGACACTTTCTTGACTTCTGGATCATCCTCAAAAATGGATATCTGCTCACAGGAACCCACAATTATCAAGTTTCTTCCAAAGAAACTTTGGACCAAAGTCCACGTGCAGCACAATCTGCTGGATTTGACTCTGACTGTACATAATTCCATTGAATAGGATCAGTCCTATCTTTAATATACTGAACTCTATTTGCAACAAAAACATGAAACCTTTTGGCATCATTTGAAATGTATCCTAAGACTGCTTTACTGTCTGTCCAAAATATTATCTTTATATTTTCATAATCAAGCTCCTTTCTTAACATGACACTTACTTTAGTTGACACTACTACTGCTGACAGTTCCAATCTTGGAATAGTAACAACTCTCAGTGGAGTAACTCTAGACTTGGACATAACTAAAGAACAATGAATTTGATCATTAACATTAACAAATCTAATATATGAACACTGTCCATAGCCATCTTGGCATGCATCTGAAAGATGGTGTAATTCTACTGATTTAACTTCTCCAAAGCCTTCTGATTTATAACATTTTGGCAACTTAAGGTTTTGCAACTCACATAATTCATTTCTCCATCTTTCCCACAAGGGTTTAATATGATCAGGCACAGGATCATCCCATTCTACTTTACCCCTACATAAATCCTGGAGTATTTTCTTTCCTAGTAGAATCAATGGAGATACTAGTCCCAAGGGATCAAATATTGAGCTTACCGTTGACAAAATGCCTCTTCTAGTTAAAGGCTTGCTATTGAAATAAACTGTGAATTGAAAAGTATCAGATTCTATGCACCATTTTTTTTTTTTTTTTTTTTTTTCTGATTTGCGAAGCAGAGCCTCGGCCGAGCTATGCCTATAAGGGGAGCCCGGTTTATGCACCATTCTATTCCAAGTGTTCTTTCTATTGGTTGTGTATCCTTTGTCAAGTCAAGACTTTTAATGTTGTCAGACATTACTTCTGGACTAATAGCAGATATTACTTCCTTTTTGTTTGAGGAAAATTTGGGCAATGTAAAACCTGCTAATTTACATAAACGTAATTTACTTTTATCAATAAAATCAACAGCTTCAGCTACTGTTGACACTGACATTAACCCATCATCCCTACTTAATTTTTCCTTTGGGATTGGTTCTGCATAACCTTTCTCTATGAGATCATTCATAAATTTGACATAATCTTTCTTTTGCCTAAACTTTCTTTTAAGATTCATTAACCTGCGCAAAATTACATCTCTATTA